ACCCTGCTTTGGCTCTTCTTGTTGCCCCTTCATCCTCCACCTTTCTGCCTAAATCATTTTATCACCTCCTACTGGCCTTCCTCCTGAGATTCTCACCGCCCTACAATCTACTCTCTACCCAATGACCAGATCACGTCACTTCCCTGCTTCAAATTCTCCGTCACACTTAGAATGAAACCTCAACTCCTTCCCGTGGCTGATGGAACCCAGCACTATGTGGTCCCTGTCTCTGCCCCCCCCCTCCCCCTCCCTTCTGTCCTCAGCCACATTGGCCTTCTGATAGTCCTAACAAGTCTAGCTTTTTCCTTTCTTGGCACCTTTGCCCTTGCTGCTCCCTCTCTCTGAAATCCTCCAGCTGTCACATGGCTGCCTCCTGCTCATTGTTGAGTTCCTGGTTCATCTGCCACCTACTTAGAGAGGCCTTCCGGGCCATTCCTTCCAGTAACTATTTATCAAATGGCTCTTTCTACCCCTCACCACTGTAAGAGGATATCGTTTATTTATTTGTCTGCTGCTAGATTCCAAGTACCTAGAACAGTGTCGGTGGAAACCCAGTTAAGACTTGCTGAGTGATGGAATAGCTGGGAGCCAGAAGTCCTTTGCTGTCATGCTAGTTCTACCATTTGCGAGTTAAGCAAGCGTCAGGATGGGGCTTCATTCCCCAAGGAGTGCTGGCCGCTGATGGCTCAGAGCCAAGGCCATCCCCGAGGGGCCCCTCCCCTCACCAACAGCTCATGAAGACAAGGCCCTGCTCCCATGCTCCAAACAGGGTTTCTCTGCATGGTAGCCCAGCTCTAGAGCTCTCTGTGGGACTGGTTGAGGCCTCTGTCATGACCACCGCCCTGCTCAGCTTCTCCCTGCCCTGTCCTGCTCCCTCCTTTCCCACTGAACATTTCCTGGGAAGCCTCCTCACATCAGTCTCCATCTCAGAGCCTGTTTTCCAGGCTCAGCAGGAGTCCAGTGGGCAGAGGCAGAGAGTGGTATGGGACCACACACACAGTGGTTTCAGCCCAAGGTGAGGTGGCGGGAGCCCCAGCTGGGAAGCTTCAAATTGTGGGGAGTGGCAGGAGGATCCTGGGGATGCCTGGGGGAGGAGGTTGGGCCAGGGAAGGCGGGCAGGAGAGGAGAGACCGTAAAGGCACCCACGAGGTGCCTGGAGGGAGGGCTGTCATGGCTACCTGAACTAGAGAGAGGGTTGGTTTCTCTGAGAGGTGGGACAGGATGAGATGGACCCAAGTTTACCATGAGGCTGCCTGCCCATAACTGTGAACAAAAACTTAAAATTTTCAAAGCATGTGTTCACTTAGCCTTGGAAGATTATTGACATTTCTGTCACTTTCTGGCTCAGACTGCTATTCCAACAGAAGATTACGACGTCGCTGACGGCAGGCTCTACACGCATGGAAATTCCACACACAGCCAGCGGAGGCTCTCGGCCCGGCTCTGTGCCTGGTGTGAAGGCATTCCCTGCTTTGGGAAGTGCCCGGCTCAGGCCGCGTGAGAGTGAGAGGGGTGGCTGCCTGGTGTGTGGGCAAGGACGCCTTCCTGGAAAAGGGCAGGATGCCCTAATGGGGAAACACTGGGTACTGCTCTTGGGGCGGCTTGGTTGTGGGGCCAGAGAGCTAGGACACGCTGCTGGGCAGGACTTGGGCTGGCCACGGAGCTTCCATGGATGGAAGTATCCACTCTGACAGCGCCCATGGCACTGGGGGCGGGCTGCAGTGCAAGGGAGCAAGGCTACCTCTAGGGCCTTGTAAGTACTTTGTATGAGTTATTTTACCTACTGTCACTGTTGTTCTGGGAGGGCAGCAGGGCCAGGGCCAGCCGAACGCTCCCATTCTCACAGAGCAGTGCCTCCTGGCCAAGGCCAGACGGTGAGGTCAGGACCAGAACCCAGGGCTGCTGTCTTCCCATCCAGCCTTTTCCCAAGACGCCGTGGCACCACTCGCACAGAGCAGCTCTAACTGGGCCACCCGTTTTGGAGAACTCCACCATGATCACAGGACCACGTGTGTGTCACTACAGGACCGTGTGCACCCGAGTGCACTCGTGCAGAGAAAGTGAGGGCTTGTGCTGGTGAAGTGGGGAGAGAGTGACTGCCCTGGGCAGCAGCCAGCACCACCTAGGCAGGACTGAAAGTGCCTGCAAATCTCACGATCCAGCGGTTTAATAACTGGACATGCAACAAAAATTCTGAGCAGGTCCATAAGGACCAAGGACAAGGACATTCATAGCCGGGTCTCTTGTGTGTGTGCGTGGGGGGGGGTGAGTAGGTGGGTGGCAGGGTATGTGGGCGAGGCCCGGGAGACTGTGGCAGAGCACACCGCAGAGTGAGGGTGGCAGTTCCATCTGTGTGTACCAGTGGGGATGGACCTTAAACACACAGTGCTGAATGAAAGCACACAAGAATATTCTAAGTGTTACTCAAATCAAAATGCCAATGTCATTCTGAAAGAACACAAAGTTGTGCAGAAAGCAGACTGTAATGACTGTGTACTGGGGGATGGGAGTGAAAAATGGTGATAAATGGGAAAGAATAAAATGACGAGAGGGGGGCCTGCCTGGGAGCAATGGTGGGTGGGTCAGGGATTGAGGAGAGTTGCGTCCTTAACCTGCTATGTCTGAGGTTACATGTGATGGTGAGAATGAAGCGGAGGGACAAGGTGGGGGGGAAGCGCTGGGACCTTCTGGCTTCACCCACATCCCATACCAAACAGCAGACCAGCCCAGGCACCCAGGGGACACCACTCCCCTCGCTCTGTGGCCCCTGCACTGGGCCCAGCCTGAGCGGGTCCTGGAGGACATGCAGAGGGGACACCGGCAAGGTCTCTGCCCTTAAGGAGCTTACAAACCATGAAGACGGTGAGGTCAATGTACAAATAACCACATAGCAGGACAGCCTACAAGCAAGCATCTGGGCTTAGGGAGATGCTACCAACAATTTAACGTGCCCCACATGGCTGTCATTTTAAAAGAATGTTGTAGACACAGACAACAGCATGGTGATCACCAGAAGGAAAGGGAGTGGGTGAGGTGGGGGAGGGTAAAGAGGGAATAAATGGGGTGGAAGGAGACTTGACTTGGGGGTGGTGAGTACACAGTATAATATGCATGCAGATGATATAGCATTGTACACCTGAGTCTTATATAATTTTATTAACCAATTCAATTATAAAAGGATTCTTTAAACAAACTCACAGACACAGACAGCGGTATGGTGGTTACCACAGAGGAAGGGGGCTGGGGAGGGTGGAGAGAGTAAAGGGGTCAAGTACATGGTGACGGAAGGAGGCCAGACTATGGGTGGTGAGCCCACAGTGGAGTACACAGATGATGTATTACGGAGTGAAGCTTACATGTTATTAACCAATGTTACCTCAATAAGTTTAATTTTTAAAAAAGAATGTTTTAGGTAGTAATTTTAAGAATTCCCTTGTATCTGTGTAACTGTTTCTCAGCTTCCCAAGCCATTATGCTCTCTTCTCTGGGAAGTTTCCCACACTCCTTTTGAGGGAACCCTTGTTACCTGTCCACAGATGGGGAACAGGTGACCTTGCTTGTCTAAGGCTGCCCAAGTAGGGAGGGCACAATGTGGATTCAACGCCAGGCCTCTGTCTTAGAGGTGTGTGGTTCTCTCTACCACACACCCGGCTTTCTCAGAATCTCTGCTGGCCCTGCCAAACTCACATTCAGCCCAATCTCTGGGACTCCCATACTGAGCCAGGAGGCCAGGAGGTCTTAGAATGAACAGAAGCTTGGCCTTTAATAAAAGTGGGTTCCAGGTCATCGCTGCACTTGCTCCCTTAACCCACAAACTCCTGGCCTGCTCTAGGTTGCGGGTCCCCTGAGCCAGCAAGCCACTCTTTGGCTTGGCAAGATGCTCTGAAGGAGATGCAATAGTTTGGTTTTGAAACGTATACAAGAACAAATCTCGTCTACAAGCCTGTGAGCTTTCCAAAAGCCATTATTATTTGTGTACACACAAAAGATGATGGTATCAGAAATGAAAGCAGAGTCTGGAGATGCTATTATTAGGTCTCTTTTATTTAGAGAACTAGGGCATCCGTAGTGCAAGTTGAAAACCCAGAGCCTACTTAGCTGGGATTGTTTTCTTATGGGGGATGGTAACTAAGGTCAACCGTGAGCTATAAAGTGGCTGGGGTGATACTGACCTGCAATAGGGGGAAGGTGGGTGGCTAAAATTTTACAGCATTTATTATTATAAAAGTAATTAATATTTACTATGGAAAATATAGAAGTAAATACGGGTGAAGATAAAAAGAACCTTAATGCTACTACCCAGAAATGTTCTCTTTTCACAATTCTGCTCTATTCTCTCCTACAGGCTTGTACTCTACAGTGGAAGTTTCTGTCAGGCAAATTAAACACAGCACAATTAATTGTTTGCACAGCACTCATTCTAACAAGATCCCCGTCAGGAACTGGCCTTGCAGGAGCTGTCAGAAAGCTGCTCGTGGTAAAGCACAGGAATACACGGTGGCTTTGTTGGTCTGATGGAATTTCCTGTTGAGTTATTTTGTTGTTTACCGTGGAGCTGTGAGGCCAAGGCCGCTGGTGACAGAGGAGGGGGAAAGCTCCTGCGTCGGGGATCTCAAAAGGAAATAAACAGGTTTTGTTTGGCTTTTGTCCAGTTTGATCAGCCAGTTTATTTTTTTCCCCTTGTAATAAAAGACACTCATAGCTATAGAAACACTTTAATTACTGAAATTACTGCAGAAAAAAGTGCCTTTGTTATTGTGAGTCTAAAATGCTCCTGTATTTTATCCACTTTTTTCCCATTGAAATAACTGGGTTTTGTAAAACATGGTATTTAAAACACATTTTTTAGAGATTAATAAAATATAGCAGAGCAGGCTCTCTCTGTTTATATGTACACACACATATGTATATATACATAATATATACATGTATATACACACACATACACAAATGAATGTGACTTTAAAAATAAAATTAGGAACATGTTGCACATATAATCGATATTTTCCATTCTTTACTTAATAGCATATTATAAGCATTTCCCAGTAATTGAATATTCTCCAGAAATATGATTTTTTCCATGATATGGATACAACATTCATTATTTATGCTCTCCCCCTTTCAACATCTTAGGTTGGTCCAGTTTTATTTTTATTATAAAAAATGCTGTGACAAACAATGACTCTCTGTCCATATTTCTCATTATTTTCTTACAATAAATTAAGATTGTAACACCCTTCATGAGGTATTCATTAGTATTATGGATAGTATGCATAAATCTCTCAATGCAGTGCTTGGCACACGGCAGAAATCTGATGACTGGCGGTTATAAATAGGAAATCAAGCGCCTAAAAAAACAGGTCAATTCCATCAGAGCAGAGAGCTGGGGGAGGAAAGCAAGCGGACAGTCTGGGGAGAGGGGAGGGGAAAGGGCGGGGTGTCTTTGCTCCTAGGAGCAGCGGGGCCTGCCGATACCTAGCGTAAAGTGATTCTCAATGTGAACCCCACGGAATACTGCCACTCTCCCGTGCCTCCCAGACATGCCCTCCCCTGGTCCTCAGAGACCTGCTCACTCAGCGGCGTCGCGTGGGCAGGGAGGCTGAGTGACACTGAGCACACATGGAATACAGAGCCATCGTGTAACGGAAAACTGGGGTCACAGCACAAATGACAGATATCACTGAGTTCTCCACAATTCTTTATTAGCTATTCTCACTCATGATGAAAAGAAAGAAAAAAGTAAATGAAACTGAGAGAAAGTAAGATGGGAAATCCAACATTTCTTCCCCAAGGACTTCAGCTGGACTCTGCAAAATGGACCCCTAAGGGCTTCCTGTTTGCAGCTCACTCACAGAAAAACTCATTAAAAGAAGAACTTTAAAAAAATGTCCTCGTTTCTTCCAAGGTGTAGGTCTGATGTGGTGCAATGAGAAAGTCGGGAGCATGATTTTTTAAGACAAAGACTGGAATGCTTACAAGACTAAGAGCGAGGGCCCGTCAGAGCCACGCAGTCACACTCGCGCACAGCTGGGCTCCTCTTCAGAAGGAGTCTTCCCGGTCAGGACAATTCCACTGTCTGTCCTTGGGGGTGGCCAACCTCTGTGCTTTGATGGCGGATTTGATTTCCGAGCACAGTCTGGAGCTGCTTGGATGAATAAGGGATAGTGAGGGTGTGTGCTGCAGCTGGGAGGTAAGACCTGTGAAGGCGACAGTAATGAGGCCAGTTTTGTGATGAGGGCCCCCGCTGGCACTGAAGGTCCTTCCCAAATAGGCGGCGAGCTTTCCACCTGCAGCAGGAAACCTGAGCATCCTGGGAGTAAGCACAGCTTCCTGGGTGCACAGGCCGAAGGGCGGCCTTTGCTATGTTTAACATCAGGGCTGGCTGTTAAAACCTTGGCTCACGGGTTCAGAGCTCACTGGGAGCTGTAGAAGTTCTGTTTGTTCTTTCTCTCTAAATGGAAGCCTATCAATTTAAAATAAATTTATATTTGGTCCAAGAAAGGCCGGCTGTTAAAAGGATTTCCATTCTTTGGGGGCTAAGGTCAAAGGGCATAGTTTTCTTTCTTTTCTTCTCTCTGAACGCCTACTTCCTAACCCACCAGGAGATATCTCCATGCTCGCCTTTTATGATGCTCGTCCCCTTGGAGGGAAAAGTCCCCAAGCACCATCAGTGTGCAGGCCAGTCATCACTGGGTGCCCTCAGGGCAGTGACCCACAGGGCGGGAGAGCTGCAGCGCCTGATCACAAAGCATTCCTGCAGTGTCTCTCAAGGGTTCAGGTACCACCTGGGGGCCTCAGAGGCACCCGTTCCTTGCCTTCCCCCAGATCCAGAGGCCCAAGGGCCCGCAGGCAAGACTGTACCTAGTCCTCTGGGATAGGGGTGTTGCAGTTCCCGTGGTAGATCCTGATGTGGCCCTCGCACCGGAAGTAGGCCTCAAAGACATCACTGTAGCCGTGGTCCCTCCACCAGGTGCAAAGTTGCCGGTTCCAGGTACAGTCCAGCACGTGGAAAAGCTCAGGGTGCTCCATGCCAATCATGGTGAAGAAGTCCTGGTCCCCGAGGTGGCCTCGGAAGTGGTACTTGTCGGCCAGCTGCTGCACCTGTGCTGGTTCCAGCAAGTGGCTGTACAGGGGGGACTGTCGCATGGCCTCCAAGTTCAGCAGCATCACCCCACTGTTGAAGCCAGGTAGCCCCTCGGGAGGTGGGTCCCCGACCCGGGTCTTGGGGTTCTCATGGCGGAACTGCCAGAATGTGTGCCTGGGAAGGGGAAAGAGAGCAGACTTAGCCCGGTTTGTTGGGTGAAAGAGTTTGCCAGCCCTATTCCCCTGGGTCTCACAAGCGCCCTGGAGGAAGATACGATTTTACACCAGTTTTACAGCTATGAAAACGGAGACATGCTGAGGTTCAGAATCTGGTACCGTTATCACAGGTAAGTGGCAGAAATGGGATCTGGACCTAGGTCTCCAAGCCTCGTGTTCTTCCCATGATCCTCTGCTACCTACCGCAGGATGACCTCATCCTCATCACTAACATGTGCACTGACTCAGGATGCACCAGCCCTGTACTAGGTCACTACACCCCTATGAGATGGGTACTCTGTGAGATGACAGTCACGTCACAGCTGAGGAAACTGACGCACAAGGAAGCTTGGTAACTTGCCCAAAGACATATGACCAGTAGGCAGCAAAAGCAGGAACTAAACCCAGGCTGGCTCCAGAGCCCAGTGTAACAATCCAGGGGAACTTTCTACCCTCGTCTTTGTCTGTGATCTTGAAAAGGAGAGAGAGAGAGGAGGGGAAAAATTCTGAATGGTGATCTGGTAAAGGCATAGGAAGCTACACACAGCCTGAAACAAAAATGTCTGCCTTAGAACAAGCCTCATTTTTTAAGAACCCAAGCCTAGCCTTGGCTGGTGTAGCTCAGTGGATTGATTGAGTGCTGGCCTGTGAACCAAAGTGTTGCTGGTTTGATTCCCAGTCAGGGCACATGTCTGGGTTGTGGGCCAGGTCCCTGGTGGGGCATGTACAAGAGGCAACCACACATGGATGTTTCTCTCCCTCTCTTTCTCCTTCCCTTCTCCTCTCTCTAAAAATAAATAAATAAAATATTAAAACACAAAAAGACCCAAGCCTAGCATTTCTATCACGGGCAGTGGTTGGAGGCTTGAAACAGCTCAGGACTCACACTCATGGGTCAGGTGAAAATCAGCAGCCACTCTACAGGGACTGTCACTTCAATTTCAATTTCTCTCTAGGTGGATTAGAAGTCGTTTAGACCTCCAGTTCCTGGAACGTTAGCCCCAGGAGGAGCCTTCTAGGTCCTCTACCCAAACACTTCCTCCCAGAGAAGCGAGGGCAGAGTCGGAACCTCCCTAGGGTGACACATTAGAGCACTGGCTCCTCTGTTCTCCAGCCTCTGCAATGTCAGGTCCCTGTGTGCTGCAAAGGGGGAGCAGCGGAGGGGCAGAGGCCCAGGCCCACGTCCTCCTCGGAGACGCAGTCTCTGCAGAGGGATCAGAGACTTGGAGCAAGGACAGAGGACCCTTTGTCATGGGCAAGGTCAGGAGTGGGGCAGGCCAGTGTTCTGCGTCAGACTGTATCTCACCTATTTTCACCTGCTTCGCCCTCCCCTGGAGAATCTTAGGGTGAGGAATGCGTCCTGGCAAAAGCAGCTCTGCTGCCAGCCTGGAAGTGCCAGCCTCTGGCCTCCCCCAGCCATGGTTTCCCTGACCAGTCACAGGACAGGATGTGTGCGGTGAAGTGTATGGACCTGTCAAAGGAGAACCAGAGACCTGGCCCAGGTGGGCTACCAGAGACCCTTCTCCTGCTCTACCACGTTTGCAAGTTTGGGGATGGAGAGACCTTCCTTGAGGTGTCGCCTATCACAAAGGGTGCCGGCAGGGTGATCCTGGCGCGGGGAAGCATTCCCTTTGGACATTCCCACACGTGGGACACACAGGCTCGTTGTTTGGGCTTGGCCATGACCGGACTATGAGTGCAGCAGCGCTCTGGCGCCTGCTTAGTGATAAAAACCTTGGCAAAAATAAGCTTCCCAAGCCAGCTGAGATGCTGGAGTGTTTCTGGCAGCAAAGGCCTGCACTGATGGGATCGCGGAAGGGTCGCAATGTGCTTTGGCAGCTCTTTGCTCACCTTACCCTGTTTCTTCCACATGGTTAATATCAGGTCCCAGTTGCAAACCGGCTAAAGTTCTGCCAAACAGACCTGGGCCACCACAACACAGGTGCATTGTTTGAGCTGGAACCCTGCAGCTGGGGGAGGGGTGCACCACTGCCAAGGCGCCACAGTCACCAGGAGGCGAGGACAGGGCTGCGAAGACAGCAGTGGAGAGGCAGAGCGGCGCCTGGGGAGCCCTGGACAACTCACAAGCCACTGAGCCCACCATGCTTCTGTACCTTCCCCAGGTTTCTCCTTCCTTCCCAGAGGACCAGGTGGTAGGAGGTGTGGGGTCAAGTCAGCCCCTCTGGGGTCTGTGTGGTCTCCCAGGACCACCAGTGCCTGCCTCTGCTTTGTCCGCAACCTCACGCAGTGCCTGAATGCTAGGACCCCAGGGACAAAAAAGTGACTTGACAAGGAATGACAAAAGGTCAGAGCTGCTCAGGCTACATAACCTTCTATGCTGGCTGGAACCAGGGGCAGGAAAACAGCAGGATGCACAGTTTCAGCAGCAGAGAGAAGACCTGTAATCCCCCACTGCTAGAGAGGCGGCTGCGGCCTCAGGCACTCTTACCAACCTCGGCAGCGCGGCTCCCCAGATCCGCTCTGCCTATGCAAGTGTGACCTGACACTGAACTCAACAGGCCCAGGAGAGGGGCGCCAGACTGAGCGAGGACAGAACATCCCTCCAGGTAGAAACCATAACCCAGGTGCCTCTTTGGGAACATGACGCCCGGCCCCACCACTCAGTCAGGACCGAGAGGCATTCTGTACCACACAGCCAGAAAAAGCCAGGTCCAGGACAGCAGCGCACTATGATTTGTCAGGCAGAGCAGAGGAAGGACAGGGAATGCTGACGCAGAGACACAGCCTGAAAAATAAACTGATGGTTCTCCAAGTACAAGATTATTTCCAGGGTGCCCTTGTTCAAAGCACACCGACACCCCCAAATGACCCCAGACAGACAGAGCACATTCTCAGAGGCACGGTGGGGTTCTCTGTCCTCCCTGCCAGTGGGTTCCTGTGGAGGAAATTCGACAGCCTTGAGGCAGAGAGAATGACACAGGGAGGCGGAGGGCTTAGCGCTCCCTTCAGGGGCTCTGGTCCCCTGAGAAACTGCCTCACAAGGGGGTCCATTCATTTCTCACCTGCCCAGAAGGGAGAGAGTGGCAGAGCCCTCCTATCTTCCCTCGGCTCTTGCTCCCACGATGCATTTGAACGGGGAGGGGACCGAGGTCCTCAATGTGCCAGGGGCAAGGCCCCAACTCGAATCCAGGCCTTCTGATCATGAGGTCTCTTTCATCCTTGTCTCACATTCCACGGGCTAATGTTCCAAGGAGCAGTATTTAGATTTCGATCTTTTTTTCTGAATTTTGCTGGCACATCCCAAGGCCAGGGGCACTGGGGACAGGGCCATCAGATCATGCCACTGCCGCTGGCACTTCAACTCAGGGGTCAGACTCCAGAGCCACCTAAGCAGGTCGGAGAGTGCCCGGCCTACGCCCTCCTCAGAGGGCCTGGAGCTGCCATGCACAGGGTCCGGCAGAAGCAACGCCTGCCTGAGTGTTGTAATACAGGTGGTAGGGTAGTAATATGGGTGTAGTAATCTGTGGTTTTAATTTGAACATTTCACCTAACATGTCCTATGGTGCACTTGAGTGTGATATTGTTATGTTACAGAATTACGTGCTTACGATTTTCTAATAAAATCCTTTGTAATAAAAAGGGGGGTTGTTTGAGTCAGACCCTGTATATTCACAGGGCCCTGGCCTGGCACATGCGCAGGCTGCAGGAGGCCTGTGTGAATGCCACATCTGGTTCTGAGTCCTGGAGCTTCCAGAAGCGTCTCTGATTAACTGCCCACACTCACACCCCAGTGGCGTCACTCTGCCTGACTGTCCAGATTTGGTCCTGTGCAGGGATTTGTCCCATCCTCCATGGCCCCCTGAGACCAACACTGGAGGGGACACAGTTTTTTCCCCTTTAGAAGTATCTTCAACTGCGAAACAAGCCCCATGCAGGCAATGGTCCCTTGGAAACACCACATCTACCCAGAAGTCAAGGGGGCTTACTGGGAAAACACGAGTGAAAAACCCCCAAGCCCATTCTTCCAGTTAGGAGTGGTGGGTTTTCTAAATGTTTCACATCAAGTATGTCCTAATTAATAATCATAAAACAGACTAATTAGTTTTCAGAAGTAAACCAGCAAACTAGTTTTCATGAAGAAAACCCACCGAAGGGGTATTTGAAATAATTTTCAAAAGCAAAGTCATTTCCTCAGGTCTTCCCCTGAGGTCGCTGCCAAGGTCACTCGAACAAGTCTTCCAACCAGAGACCCTGGCCAGAGAATCTAAAGCTCACTTTCTCTGCAAAAGAACATTCATTGCCGTGAATAGCCCCTTTCTCCCCCTGCCACCCCAGACCAGAGACCCTCTGCCCTCCCTGCCTCTTCGTGATTCTTCTCTCCCGAGCCGGCTTTCCTCAGCTCCCAAGGCTCAGAGTTTTCCGCTCCACTTCTAAGAGGGAAGACGTGAGGATGGGGATACACACCGAGGCTGGGCAGCTGCACGAGTGTCCCCAACAAAATTCTAGAAGCCTGTGCTGAATCAGGCTGAGTTCAAGCTGTAGGCTCTCCGGCAAAGAAGGCTGTTTTAGGCCAGAGTTAGGAAGACAACCTTACACACAGCACGTCCCCTCACCGTGGGCTCGGCTCTGGAGCGTCCACCCGAGTTCAGTGCGAAGTCACTGATGAGCAAGCAAGGCTGGGCCTCCTCCAGAGGAAGCACAGCACCTGCACGCCCTCTAATCAGCGAAGGCGGAGTCAGGGGACGCGCTTCCCTTCTGCCCGTGTTTGCGTACCAGCCCCAGGCAGCTCTTGTTTGACTTGGAAGGGACCCCGTTTTCCAGTCCTTCAAAAGGAAAGGCTAGAAGTGAAGAGCAATGATCGGCGGCAGGCCAGCGTCCCATCCACCCCAGGGCCCGTGAGGTGACCTGGGGACAGTTCTGGGTGATGTGGGGCTGGTTTCAGAGCAATGACTGAGTCATGGTCCCAATGGGGGTTGAGGCTGAAGTTCTGCTGACTCT